TCGCTCTCAAGGCCTTAGGGAGACATTCACTTTCACACAATTCGTGGTCGGGCTTTTGTGTACTTGGGGATTTTAATTTAAATCTTTCATATTATTGGTTCTTTCGGTAAAGTCGCGTAGAAGGAAAACAATAAAATGATAAAAATAGTAAACAATCAAAATCTCGCGACGTTTCGACTTTACCGAGAGAACCAAGAATACTTGGGGATTGTTAACAAATTTCATTTCACACACTCTTAACACTCTCACACCCACCCACACTCTCACACCCACACACACTCTCACACACACTCACACCCACACACATTCACACACAGACACACACTATCACACCCAACCACACACTCTCACACCCACCCACACTCTCACACCCACAGACACTCTCACACCCACCCACACTCTCACACCCACACACACTCTCACACCCACCCACACTCACACACAGACACACTCTCTCACACCCACACACTCTCACACCCACCCACACTCTCACACCCACACTCACCCACTCATCCACCCACACTCACACCCACCCACACTTACACCCACCCACACACTCACCCACACACTCTCACACTCACACACACCCACCCACACTCACACACTCTCACACCCACCCACGTCCGCCATTGTCCACGCGGCGTGTTTGCTGCAACACAACACGTGGGGGTGTTGAGGGGTGTTGCTGCATAGCGGCGAGAAATGCCTACATCTTACTACAACAACTAGTGTTGTTGTTGTGATACTCACAGGGTGGTGGTGGTTGTAATAAGAGTTGTGGTAGTAAAAAAGAGTTGTGGTGGTAATAAGAGTGGTAGTAGTAGTCGTGATAAGAGTGCTAGTAATACTCACAAGGTAGTAGTAGTGGTGGTAGTAGTTGTGGTAGTTGTTGTTGTTGCTGGGCGATGTCCCAGCGCCTCTTCCCACCAAGGCGACCTCCTCGCGCGCTGAAGCCCCGCCCACAGCAGGCGCGAGCCGCTCCCTGATTGGCTGCCGGCGCTGACGCGTCACCCCGCAGCCCCCTCGCTTCTAATTGGTGGATTGAAACCCCACCGCGTGGAAACTTCCGCTTTGATAATCGAAGGGGTTTCCCCCTTTCTGGCCACAATAAAACCCTCGTGTGTTTAAGACGTTAAAACACCAAACTGAAACCTTTGCAAGGAATCATGTCTGTATTTACCACACAAAGACAAAGATCCCCCGTGTAGCCTTAACAGACTGTAGGGGCAAGTGCTGTTAGCGAGCACCTATGAAGGCCGGAACGGTACACGAGGGGGTGGGTGGCCAGCACCACGCCCGACCGCCTTTGTCTCCCTAGTGGCGATGTTTACACACCGCACCAGGTACTAATTTAAGGCTGAGTCGACCTAGGTGAGGCCCAGGACCGGTTCAGATAATCGTCACCGGTGTTGGCCGTGAGCGGGAATCGAACCCGGGTCGCCAGGTTCATAGCGCAGCGCGCTAACCGCTACACCACCGCTCCCCACACACACACACTTGTGAACATGCAAACAAAAAAACACGTGCTCTGACGGAGTGTGCATTGTCCTTGAAACTGATTGGTCCACACCAGAGACGGCTTTCTTTTGAGCCTCGTCTCAAACGGTGCTAGACCAGAGGACGCCAAAAGGCGAACACGCTTCAGTTTTCTGAAAGTTGACTGCTGTGCCCGGCTGGTGGTCGCATCGAAAAATATGCCAAAACATTTGTTTTTTTCAGCAAACTATAACGTTCAAAAGCAAAGTATAATGTGTCCAGCAATCGCCTTACATTAGGAGCCATAAATGACGTCACGCGGTTTTGGACAATTTTTTACCCCCCCCCCCCCTCGTCACACGGCGTCACAAAAAGTCAGACCTCCCTTCAAATATGACATCACAAAAATAAAACACGCTTCAAATCGCTTTCAACTATTGTCATTGTAGTGCGTATTTAATGCGGCGCTGCATTCTGATGCTGTAGGAGAACACATTTATTAAAAAGTCTATTTAATTAAGTAGAACGTGTTGTCTATATTTAATTAATGTTGCACATTTTGACGTGACGTCACATTTCTCACCCCCCCCCCCCCTCGTCACACATCCTCACAAATGTCTGACACCCCCCTACCCCCCTAGGTGCGTGACGTCATTTATGGACGGCCCCTTATTTCAAATCTCAAGATTTTATTCAAACGTGACACACACAGTTGACTTGAGCTGCAGCACAGTCAGAAACTCAGCCTTCCACAGCCAGCGCTGCCAATGAGTTTATGATTCTCCACAGCAGAGGTCGCAACCGGGTACCCGATACCCGTACCCTACCCGATACCCGTACCCTACCCGATACCCGGCTACCCGTACCCGGCTGGCTACGGGTACCTGTTTGCGACCCTGGTGCGGGTACGGGTAGGCCGTGAGTCACTGGTGAGTAACCGTTTGTCACTCATTTCGGGTAGGGAATGGGTACCCGTACCCGGCCGGGTACGGGTATCCATTTGCGACCCTGGTGCGGCCGGGTACGGGTAAGGAATCAAAACCCGTTTGCGACCTCTGCTCCACAGCGGGGACGTCCAACAGCCGGTGTAGAACTCGCAACCTGAAATCCGCGCACCAGAAGGGTGACGACAACTCTCGTCAAAGCCTTCAAATGTAGCGCTTCTCAGTCACGTGATTCGGCCGTAAAGAGCTCTCCCATATTCTTTGGGTCTTTTGGTAAAGTCACGTAGATAGGTTAAAAAAACTACGACGTTTTGATCGCAACGCCTGATGATGATCGCTTGTGTTGCGATCGAAACGTCGTCGTTTTTTGTCTTCTTTCTTACCGATCTACGTGACTTTTACCGAAAGATTCTAGATTTGAAGGACCCAAAGAATGTGAATTCCTCCAGTCAGAAACTTTAAGTCGAGTTCTCCCATCTCAATTCGCTGCCTCCGCCGTTCCCTTTCAATGGCTGCCTGGTTCTGGACAAGCAAGCCACGTGCATGCCGGGGAACGGAGAGACAGCCCCTCCTCCATCCCAGAGAGTCGTCCGTCAAGGTCGATGGCGTGCCGAGTCTTCCGCGCAGCCATTGCGTGATCTCTCTTCCTTCGCTGCGATTCTCTTAGCCTCGTCAGTTTAATCATTATCCTAATCGACCAGGTTACACTCAAAACCCAATAGCTTTTAGCTCCGGGGCCTGATGATATCGTCAGGAGATCATTAGAGTTGTTGGTTAATTGGTTTGTGATTGGCGGGTTAGAATCATGTAAGATTAATATATTTAGTGGTTGGTGAAAATAGGCCTTCTTTAATTCTATTCAGGTGAATTGTGTTAGTTAAAGCTGTGGGTTTGATGGAATTATTATGAGCGTGAAGTCGCCATTGACTAACAGGGCTAATGAATGAGGAATTAGTAACACACGTTGCTTGAAGATACGGTTGACGTTACAATGTTCTCATACATGTTTAATCTAAATTACTTTTGTCATTAATTTTTGTTGTATTATTTAATAACATTCATTAAAATAGCTCGTTAGGTTGCTTGATTTCCACTTGTCTATCAATTCCCCTGGGACCCGCTGCCCTTCTAAGGGCCGGGACCGAGTGGGCCAGTGGTGAGACCCTGGGAACCCCCAGATCGCGACGTCCTTGTAAGGGAGAGGGCCAGTGGTCGAGACCCGCACCTTGGCTGGGTCGGGTCAGTGTAGCCTCCCCTAGGTGGCCGTTAGCCGGAGGCGAGAGAGAGAGCCCGTGGCGCCAGTGATAGGCCATGCTAGTCCAGGGGTCGTACCTCCCCAGGTAGCGGGTGAAGGGGCCGTTACCCCTTTGTGTTAGGGACCGTTACTATTGCCGTTACGTGTTGCCTTCACACGCCGTCTCCACTCTCCTTGAACCCACTACACATGCAGCGTTTGTTCAATGTCTCGTGTGGTCACTGTGATAATAAACTTGCTTGGCTTGGATTCCCAGACAATTCGGAATGGCTCTTTGGTTCTTTTGGTAAAGAAATTAAATAATAATAGAATACAACGTTTCAATTGCAACACAAGCAACCATCATCAGATACAAATGAATTAGAACATAGTAAACTTGGAAATATAATACAGGGAGGAACAATCTTCCACACTGCCCACCAGGGATTATTTAGCTGTCTATCTGTCTGTCTGTCGTGCATAAATAAATATATAATACACACAGCTCTTTGATTGGTGGAGACCTACTGCCGGGTACGGAGAGGGGAGGGGCCTAAGGGAGGAGGGAGTCAGGAGAGGGGCCTGTGGGGGGGATCAGAGGAGGGGCCTAAGGATATGGGGGGGGGGGGTCAGGGGAGGTGCTTAAGCAAGGGGGAGGGGCCAATAGTTAAGGGGGCTGGCTACCTGGCTACCTCAAGCCACGTGATCTTGTACACAGGTAGGAACAACAGGTTGCACACTTGCCCACCAGGGATTATTTGTCTGTCTGTTGTGCACGAATGCGCTGTCCAACCAAGTTCCTACCTGCCTACTCCGAAGGAACGTGTTGCAATACAACACAGAGAGTCAGCCAGCAAAACAATCAACACCCCACCTGGTTGATTACGTTCTTCCAAAGATTGCTAAATTTGAGAGACAAAACACACAGACACACAAGCAGATAGACACACAACACAGACACAGAGAGAGACACAACACAGACACACAGAGAGAGACACACAGACACACAATGTTACTATGTTCTCATATATATTTTGCTGACAGTTTCACCTGAAGTCAGAAGCTTGTGTTGCCTTCGAAACGTCGGGATTTTTATTCTTTTATTTTTATTAATTTAAATTTCATTTTTTACCTAAGTGACTTTACCGAAAAAAATAAGAGTATGAATCCTTGCAGTCACGAAAGCTTCAAATCTAGAATCCCCTAAAATTATTTCTCACGCGACAGAGAGGGAAAAAAACCCGCCACTTTTTAGAAACAAAAGCACAAAGCGGTCCACACACAGCCCAAAAATCACCCATCCACCGCCGTGTAGCGAGTAGCAGCAGCTATGAAGGCTACCGGCACTTATAAATGTAATAACTCACAAATGTAAAATTGTTTTACACACGGAAACTTTGCGTAACATTCCAATTCAAATAAAGGTTACAGAACAGTCTTTAACATAACTTCTTCACTTCAAGTCTGGCATCAAACGCCTTCAAATCACCGCACTCGTGTTAACGCTTTCCCATGCCACCATTGCATTGTGTCCCACAGAGTTGTAAGTGTAATAACTCACAAATATATATTCGCCTTAAAATCACCGCAATCTTTGACCCTTCCACCCATTGCATTGTGTCCCACAGAGTTGTACATGTAATAACTCACAAATATATATTCGCCTTAAAATCACCGCAATCTTTGACCCTTCCACCCATTGCACTGTGTCCCACAGAGTTGTAAATGTAATAACTCACAAATGTATAAATTGTTAACAAATAAACTTTGCGTACCATCCTGGTTAAAGTACAAATTAAAGAACAGCCTTAAACTTCACTTCTTCACTTTCAAAGTCTGACATCGTACGCCTTCAAATCACCACACTCTGATCGTTATCAATGAACCCTTTCACATTCCGGAAACCAAAAAATAAGCTGATCTATGGGTGGAGGGCGGTGGCCGAGTTAAATTGCCCTCCCCGTGCCTCTCACCGCTTGCCAGCGACCGGCCTATGTCTCGCAACGGGAGAGGGAGGAGGGGTTAATCAACTAACTGGCCCCAACGGTCGGAATCCCGGGCGGTCGTTTCTCTCTCTTCCTTCCCACGGCCGTCCGCCTAAGCCATGATGGCCCGGAGCGCCCTTCTCACGGCCACGCGGCACACGGGACACTCGCTCAGGGAGAGGGCGCAGTGGCCGCACGTCACCACGTGTCTGCACGGCGTGAAGATGATGGACACCTCGTGCTCCATGCACACTTTGCAGGACAGCCGCTCTTCCAGCTTGTCCAGAAGCTCCTCGACCGATGGCGATGCTGTGGACAAAGTGCGCGCACAGACACACACGCACACACACAGAGACACACACGCACGCACAGACGGAAGCACACACACACAGACACGCAAGCACACACACACAGACACACACGCACACACACAGAGACACAGAGACACACACGCACGCACAGACGCAAGCACACACACACAGACACACACACTTTCAGCGGTTTCAAAAATGATCATCAGACTGCTTACATATGGGGCGCAAAGGTGGCGAGATGCTGACCACCTCGTCTGGTATACATGAGGTCGTGGGTTCAATCGTGACCCTGATGCGACGCCTGTTGAAGTATATTTAGAGCCTGCGTCTCCCTCTCCCTCGTCATCACCGTGGCTATGAGATGTTAACCACCTCGCCTCGTATACATGAGGTCGTGACCCTCACCTGGTTCAGACTCTCACCTGTATCAGACCCTCACCTGTATCAGGTGAGGGTCTGATAAAGTGCGCAGGGATCCGTCGCCTTACCGTGCTCAATCTCCGCAGTTGTACTCTGCGGCGTCTGTCCCGGTAGTTGAGCCTCAAAACGAGAAATAAAATGAACATCTCGTCAGTAAGAATCATCGCCGGTGTCACACAGAGCCGACAAAATGGATAAAATACGCGAGCGACGACCGATCGCGTTCAAAACAATTGCAACTTTTTGCACCGTTACTCTGTGCTCAATTTGCAATTGGCATATCGGCAAACCAAACCAATCCGCGCTAATGACGGGGGCAGGGCAGCTGCAGACGGCTCAAAATCGTGGAGCATCCTTAAATATCTTTATCAAGTTACCATTTTCCGTGGATCTCCATGCCAAAAACCCAGATTATAGTTCTATATAGTTATAGAGTACGTTTAATCTGGCTGTCGCCTGATGAAGCTCGTTGTTGTAATTACTGGTGAAACGTCGTACTCAGATTCTAAATGTTGTTATACACTATACACTACTCCACTATACACTACTATATTTACAATAAGCATATTGGTAATAAAACCACATTATTTTTACCCCTGAATGATTAACAACATTTCAGCTGGCTGCAAGTGTCAGTCTTTCGGTAAAGTCACGTAGGTAAAAAATGAAAAAAAAATCTAAAATAAAAATAAAAAATAAATAAAAAATCACGACGTTTCGGAGGCAACACAAGTCTCCGTCATCAGGTGGGACCGTCACAGCCAGATTTGCTGCATTTTTATTTTATTTGTATTAATTTTAATTTCATTTTTTACCTACGTGACTTTACTGAAAGAACTAAGAGTATGAATCCTTGCAGTCACGAAAGCTTCAAATATAGAATTAAGTTTGAGTCTATTTGTGTTCAAGACCGGTGATAAACTCCATCAAGAGACAAGACCGGTCTCGTCTGTTCGACGACCGGGGCTGACCAAGGTCAACGTTAGATGATCTAGGCGCACACACGCAAACGCTTCAAAACAACAAATGCAACATTCAGTCGTATTTTCGTGTCCAATATCATCAATATCATCCATAAGAGGCTTTTTTTTATGATGTCATCTGGAATCAACGGTATAAGTACAGGGTGATCCAGTTATGAATACCCCGCCAAATAGTATGGGGGTGGGGGAAATTATAGAGGAAATAACATTAAAGTACAATCTTGATTTGAATTACAGTAGACTCTGGGTTATACGCACGCGGTTTGTTCGATTTGCAGATGAACCGCGCACCTGAAATTTTGACGGAGATTAAAAACTCGTGGATATTCCCCTGAAGCCCAACTAATCTAAAAACAGTTGATACAACATTGGTAATTCTTGGAAATTTGTATTACAAGTCACGCGGTGCTTAAACCGAACAAATATGTTGCCCCGATTAATCCTAAATCCACGTGATCGTCTCTAAAGCACAGCAGTTGCAATGTCTTTACAACAGTGGGCAGAGTTTCATTGATTTTGTTGCCATGGCTTTTCTGTCAAAATGAGCCGACTCTTCTGCAGGAAAGTCTTAACACTGAACATGGTTATAGGCATAAAGCATTGAAGAATTGAGACTCATCCACAAGGGCGCAGTGGTGGCTAGGAGATGTTAACTACCTCGCCTGGTATGCAGGAGGTCATGGGCTCGATCCCGACCCTGACATCTGCTGCTGCCTATTTGGAGTTTGCGTGTCTCTCTCTCTCTCCCCCCATGGTCGCGTGGATTTTTCTCCGGGACCTCCGGTTTCTCCCCTCCACATGTAGAATGCAGGTCACGTGTGAGGGTAATCGACAAGTATAAATGTCCACGCGACGATGGTGAGCCCACTTCGTTGAGCTACGTCGCTGCTTTGCGTGACGGAGAGGCTCGGCATCTGAAACAAATAGCTATGCCACCGCAGCTCAGTTGGGCGCTCACCAGCTTCAGAATAACTGTTTAGCACGGGGTGCTTAGACAAGATGTTCACACTTATTTGGGACTATCGTTTTTAATTGAAAAAAATACGATCACGAATGTATGTCAATAGATTCAAAAATTTCGATTTAAAGCTTTCGTGACTGCAGGGATTCATCTTCTTGGTTCTTTCGGTAAAGTCAGAGTCTCATTCAGACTCTGTCTTCTCGACAGACCTGTTCTTCACCTGAGGACGGCTGCTTGCGTTGTGGCCGAAATGTCGTGAGAATAATTTTATTGTTTTATTTTTATTATTTTATTACTTCCCTTCTACGTGACTTTACCGAAAGAACCAAGAAGATTCAAAAGTCAAAGAGTCTCCACTTATTCGCCATCGTTGTCGAAACATGCCTGGAATCATCTCCAGTTGGTACCCAGAGCCCAGAGGCACATTTCTTAGTTGCAAATTCTCAGAAGCACCCTGCATGCGTTTTAGGAAGGACCCGCATCGCCCCAAACGAGCGATGTCAGGACGTCACCGGCGCCCTCTCTGGCGTCGCCCACCTTGAGAGCGCAGGCGGGGAAGTGCCTGGCGTGCTCCCGGACGGGGTCGTCTCCCGCCTTCCAGCGATGCATCATCCCGCCGCAGCGGAAACAGGCCACAGGTCGTCGGGGCCCACGCGGTAGAGTCCGGCCCGCGCTAAGTCCGCGGGCCGCACGGGGGACGACTCGGGCCACCCCTCGGAGAAGGACAGCAGCCTGGCCGCTTCGGCGTGCATCTCCGAGGCCGACGAAGGCGGCGGTGGGATCCGGTCCGAGCGGGACACCGGGGGAGCGGGGCGTCTCGCCGCCAACGCCCTGCAAAAGGCCCGAGTCTCTACGACGCGCGACATCGACGGAGCGAAAAGGATACGGGGCAATTTTGGGGAGAAGAAATCGTTGTGCGAATGCTTTTGCAACGGACAAGTCGGCCCCGTGGGCTCTCTTGTGGAAGATCACTCGAGAAACGTCGAGCCTTCTCCTCCTTTCCGGCGTGAAAGAGACGGGTAGTTTAAACACCGGCGATGGGAAATGGCACGCCTCCTGTTGTCACTCTCGACAGCTCCTGAATACGGGAAGAAAAAGTTGGGCGGCAAGTGTCATTAAAAACGGACATCTTTTAGTGACTTGAAACTTTGGTTTAAACAATTCATCCATAACAGGTTTTGTGGGGTTAGATCGCGTAAATATATTAATGTTAAATCCGCCACCACCCGACACAGCCAACTAGTAAGGGTTGTCACGTAAACAGAACAACCTCTATTATGGATGATATTGGTCGCCAAAGCCTACGTGTTAAAAAGTTAAACAGTTCAGTCTGTCACTTCTGACAAACGTTTGCACAGCAATAAAAGGGCACACAAAGTCTGGATGGTCCTGTAGCAAACGGAGTTTTGAGGGTTATCTGGTGTGAGAAAAAACAACACTACCCATAGACTCAGCACCGCACCATAGACTCAACACTGCACCATAGACTAACACTGCCCAGACTCAGCACTGCACCATAGACTCAGCACTGCCCCATAGACTCAACACTGCACCATAGACTCAACACTGCACCATAGACGCAACACTGCACCATAGACTCAACACTGCACCATAGACTCAACACTGACCATAGACTCAACACTGCCCATAGACTCAACACTGCACCATAGACTCAACACTGCACCATAGACTCAACACTGACCATAGACTCAACACTGCACCATAGACTCAACACTGCCCATAGACTCAACACTGCACCATAGACTCAACACTGCACCAGACTCAACACTGCCCATAGACTCAACACTGCACCATAGACTCAACACTGCACCATAGACTCAACACTGTCCATAGACTCAACACTGTCCATAGACTCAACACTGTCCATAGACTCAACACTGTCCATAGACTCAACACTGCACCATAGACTCAACACTGCACCATAGACTCAACACTGTCCATAGACTCAACACTGCACCATAGACTCAACACTGCCCATAGACTCAACACTGCACCATAGACTCAGCACTGCCCATAGACTCAACACTGCACCATAGACTCAACACTGCACCATAGACTCAACACTGCCCCATAAATCTAAACACTGCCCCATAGACTCAACACTGCCCCATAGACTCAACACTGCACCATAGACTCAACACTGCACCATATACTCAACACTGGCCATAGACTCAACACTACCCATAGACTCAACACTGCACCATAGACTCAGCACTGCCCATAGACTCAACACTGCACCATAGACTCAACACTGCCCATAGACTCAACACTGCACCATAGACTCAACACTGTCCATAGACTCAACACTGCACCATAGACTCAACACTGCACCATAGACTCAGCACTGCCCATAGACTCAACACTGCACCATAGACTCAACACTGCACCATAGACTCAACACTGCCCCATAGACTCAACACTGCCCCATAGACTCTACACTGCCCCATAGACTCAACACTGCCCCATAGACTCAACACTGCACCATAGACTCAACACTGCACCATATACTCAACACTGGCCATAGACTCAACACTACCCATAGACTCAACACTGCACCATAGACTCTACACTGCCCATAGACTCAACACTACACCATAGACTCAACATTGCCCATAGACTCAACACTGCCCATAGACTCAACACTACCCATAGACTTAACACTGCACCATAGACTCAACACTGCCCATAGACTCAACACTGCACCATAGACTCAACACTGCCCATAGACTCAACACTGCACCATAGACTCAACACTGCCCATAGACTCAACACTGCACCAGAGACTAAACACTGTACTTTTGGCGTCATCTGGTCCAACCCATATGAGACTAGGCTCGAAGGAAAGCTGTCTCGGGTGTGGACCAATCAACTTCAAGGACAGTGCACATTATCAGAGTTATGTCTTTTGTTTGTATTTATGACTGCAGGTATTGCGGTCTATGCAAACATGACTCCTTGCAAAAAGGTGTCAGTTTTGTTGCCAGATAGAAGGGTAAAGAACCAATTACTGTCCATAGACTCAACACTGTCCATAGACTCAACACTGTCCATAGACTCAACACTGCCCATAGACTCAACACTGCACCATAGACTCAACACTGCCCCATAGACTCAACACTGCCCCATAGACTCAACACTGCACCATAAACTCAACACTGCCCATAGACTCAACACTGCCCATAGACTCAACACTGCACCATAGATTCAACACTGCCCATAGACTCAACACTGCCCCATAGACTCAACACTGCCCCATAGACTCAACACTGCCCCATAGACTCAACACTGCACCATAGACTCAACACTGCCCATAGACTCAACACTGTCCCATAGACTCAACACTACCCATAGACTCAACACTGCCCATAGACTCAACACTGCACCATAGACTCAACACTGCCCATTGACTCAACACTGCACCATAGACTCAACACTGCCCATAGACTCAACACTGCCCATAGACTCAACACTGCCCATAGACTCAACACTGCACCATAGACTCAACACTGCCCATTGACTCAACACTGCACCATAGACTCAACACTGCCCATAGACTCAACACTGCCCATAGACTCAACACTGCCCATAGACTCAACACTGCACCATAGACTCAACACTGCCCATAGACTCAACACTGCCCATAGACTCGACACTACCCATAGACTCAACACTACCCATAGACTCAGCACTGCACCATAGACTCAGCACTGCCCATAGACTCAACACTGCACCATAGACTCAACACTGCCCATAGACTCAACACTGCCCCATAGACTCAACACTGCACCATAGACTCAACACTGTCCATAGACTCAACACTGCACCATAGACTCAACACTGCACCATAGACTCAGCACTGCCCATAGATTCAACACTGCACCATAGACTCAACACTGCACCATAGACTCAACACTGCCCCATAGACTCAACACTGCCCCATAGACTCAACACTGCCCCATAGACTCAGCACTGCACCATAGACTCAGCACTGCCCATAGACTCAACACTGCCCCATAGACTCAACACTGCACCATAGACTCAACACTGCACCATAGACTCAACACTGTCCATAGACTCAACACTGCACCATAGACTCAACACTGCACCATAGACTCAACACTGCCCCATAGACTCAACACTGCCCCATAGACTCAACACTGCCCCATAGACTCAACACTGCCCCATAGACTCAACACTGCCCCATAGACTCAACACTGCACCATAGACTCAACACTGCCCATAGACTCAACACTGCACCATAGACTCAACACTGCCCATAGACTCAACACTGCACCATAGACTAAACACTGCACCATAGACTCAACACTGTCCATAGACTCAACACTGTCCATAGACTCAACATTGCCCATAGACTCAACACTGTCCATAGACTCAACACTGTCCATAGACTCAACACTCCACCGTAGACTCAACACTGCACCATAGACTCAACACTGTCCATAGACTCAACACTGTCCATAGACTCAACACTGTCCATAGACTCAACACTGCACCATAGACTCAACACTGCACCATAGACTCACACTGCACCATAGACTCAACACTGCCCATAGACTCAACACTGCCCCATAGACTCAACACTGCCCCATAGACTCAACACTGCCCCATAGACTCAACACTGCCCCATAGACTCAACACTGCCCCATAGACTCAACACTGCCCCATAGACTCAACACTGCCCCATAGACTCAACACTGCCCCATAGACTCAACACTGCCCCATAGACTCAACACTGCACCATAGACTCAACACTGCCCATAGACTCAACACTACCCATAGACTTAACACTGCACCATAGACTCAACACTGCCCATAGACTCAACACTGCACCATAGACTCAACACTGCCCATAGACTCAACACTGCACCATAGACTCAACACTGCCCATAGACTCAACACTGCACCATAGACTAAACACTGCACCATAGACTCAACACTGTCCATAGACTCAACACTGTCCATAGACTCAACACTGCCCATAGACTCAACACTGTCCATAGACTCAACACTGTCCATAGACTATGGGGACCTCATTTGCCAGTAAAAATATGATAATTGGTTCTTTACCCTTCTATCTGGCAACAAAACTGACACCTTTTTTGCAAGGAGTCATGTTTGCATAGACCGCAATACCTGCAGTCATAATACAAACAAAAGAACATAACTCTGATGTGCACTGTCCTTGAAGTTGCGCCTTTTGGCGTCATCTGGTCCAACCCATATGAGACTAGGCTCTAAGGAAAGCTGTCTCGGGTGTGGACCAATCAACTTCAAGGACAGTGCACATCAGAGTTATGTTCTTTTGTTTGTATTATGACTGCAGGTATTGCGGTCTATGCAAACATGACTCCTTGCAAAAAGGTGTCAGTTTTGTTGCCAGATAGAAGGGTAAAGAACCAATTATCACTGTCCATAGACTCAACACTCCACCGTAGACTCAACACTGCACCATAGACTCAACACTGCACCATAGACTCAACACTGTCCATAGACTCAACACTGTCCATAGACTCAACACTGCACCATAGACTCAACACTGCACCATAGACTCAACACTGCACCATAGACTC